AGACACAAAATGACTCAAAAATCTACAAGAAAGACTCTAGGTGACAATTACGAGACACAAAACGACCACAAATACACATAAAATGACTAAAGTGACGTGCAAAACATCAACAAGGAGACACAAAATCAATAAAATGAGATGCAAAGGAAGCAAAAAGAGACACAAAATGACTAAACTGAGAGGCAAAACACCCACAAAAAGACACAAAACAACTGCAAAGAGACACAAAATCATTAAAATGAGATGCAAGACACCCACAAAAAGACATAAATGAACTGCAAAGAGACACAAAATGACTCAAAAATCTACAAAAGACTCTAGGTGACTATTAAGAGACACAAAACAACCACAAATACACATAAAATGACAAAAGTGACGTGCAAAACATCAACATGGAGACACAAAATGACAGAAATGAGATGCAAGACACCCACAGAAAGACATAAATGAACTGCAAAGAGACACAAAATGACTCAGAAACCTACAAAAAAGACTCTGGGTGACTATTAATAGACACCATTCAAGCTAAAAAGATGCAAAACACAAAATGAGCTCAGCAGAGGTTTATTGGTTTTAATTTAAAAGGTCTCTTTATCTTAAATTTCACTGTTTCTGAATGAGGTTTGGTTCAGAGCCAAAGAATAATAATCTGTAGAGAAGTATTCATGTAAAATATGAGGAGTGACAGGAGGGAACCAGGATCTGGACCGCTGGTTATTATAATATTAATATTGTGATGATTCCAGCGAAGCGACGCGCGGAGGAAGCGGCGCTGAATAAACACGGAGCTGCCGTTTCCTGGACGCCTGCTCGGGTCTGATAGGACCGACACTCCGGAGCCATTTTCGGGCTCACGCAGACACGACTCCTCGGTCACGGAGGTCCGGCCGCACGCCGAGCCGACACCGCAGCAGAACCGGTCCGAGCGAAACAACCGCCGAAACCCGAAACATCCCGAACGGAGCCGATTTAACCCTCGGCTGTGACCCCGAGCCAGCCAAAGCAGCAGAAAACGGTGAGAAAATGGCGCTCAGAAGTGGAAGAAGAAGCCGTGAGGGGCATTTAGAGGCAGATTCAAAGAGACGACAGCGTCATTACCGGCTGTACGCACCTGAATCGTCCGGTGGCGGCGGCGGAAAGCGGCGCACGGAGCCTCTGGTCCCGCTGCTGCTGCTGCTGCTGCGACGAAGCTGCTGCTCCAGACTGTGTGATGATGCGACTGAGCATGCGCGGAGCGAGACGAACACGACGAGGGGGAACCCAATGACGTCGGCGAGCAGCAGAGCCAATCGGCGCGGCGGCGGGAAAGCACGAAGATTACCGAGTGGTGCCTTCACAGTAAAAGTGTGATGTTTACATCAGAGCCGCAAATAAACGGAAATCTGAAGGAAGATATGCTCCCAAGAAGGATTTAGTCATTCTAAGTGTTTTTCAAAAGACTGGAATATGTATTTAAATTTGAAAAGTTTAGAGATTAAGGGTTAAACAGAGTTTTTGTGCCCTTTAAATGGTTGTTTTGCTTCTGTTCACTTTAACTTTTATTGGCTTGAATGTCAGTTTAACAACATTCCCAAAACAGAAAGGATAGTAAAAAAAAAAAAAAAAAGTCAAATAAATTCTAGTCCTCTGGTTGTTTTGTGCCTCGTTGTGCCCCTTCATGTCTCTTTATAGTCAGCTTAAGACTGTTAGTAGTTTTTTTTTTTTTGCATGTCTGTGGTAATTTAGATTCTCCTTAGATGCTCATTTTGTGTCTCTTTGCGGTTGTTGTGTATCCAATTTTAGTCATAGTTTTGTCTCTTCATTGTTGTTTTGTATCTTATTGTGGTGGTTTTATATGTCTTTGTGTCTCTTTGAAGTTTGTTTGAGTCATTTGGAGTCAGTTTGTATGTATTTGTAGTTGGTTTGTGTCGTCCTGTAGTTGTTTTGCATCTCATTTCATGTCTCTTTGTGGGTCTGTCTTGTGTTGTGTAGTTTTTTGCATGTCTGTGCTAATTTTGATTATCGATATGGACGTTTTGTATTTGTCTGGTGGTTTTGCATCTTATTTTAGTCCTGTTTTTGTCTCATTGTGGTTGTTTTGCATCTTATTATGGGAGTTTTGTGTCCCTTTATGTCTCATTGAAGTTAGTTTTAGTCGCTTTGTGTCCATTTCGCATCTTGTTGCATCAAGTTGTTTTGTGTCTTTTTATAGTCAGTTGAGGTCTTAGTGTAGTTGTTGTACATCTTTATTGTAATTTGAAGCCTTTGTTGTGGTTGTTTTGTGCCCTTCCGAGCTGCTGTGTGTCCTTGTGGCTGTTTTGCATCATATTTCTGTGATTTTGTGTCTCTTTGTGGTTGTTAATTTTGCTTTTGCGGGTGATTTGCATCTCTTTACAATGTCTTGATTGACTTTCAATCAATAAACGTTACCTGTTACTTCAGCGGAGAGCTCTGTCCCTTCAGTGATCCATCAGGTCTCAGTTTGTATCACTTAGCTGTGCTGCACAGCAATACTTTTATTTTGTTAAATAAGCCTGGCATCATCTGCATTAAATTAGCTGAACATGGGGCAGATTTAGACAAACAAACTAAACATATTCAGGCAACAGAAAATCAACCAGCAACTACATCTATGACAGAATAATATTTTTTATGCAAAAATGTCAAACTCTTGTTTGTTCCAAACGGTTAAATATCTTTTCTCTTTTATATCACATTTGATCTTATTTCTGGAGTTTGAAGTGATGTTTGGACAAAACAAGACAATGAAGATGTCCCTTTGGTGTGTGGTAAATTATAAACGCTGTTGTTGTGACCCTGTATTGGAAATTGTACCTAGAAAACTAAGAGAAAGAACAACAGCTGCAGCCTGTTTGGAAATCATTTCAGAGCATCAGAGTGTTGAAACAACAAACACAGTTTCTTCCTTTCCAATGAAGGGATTTCTTTAATTACAGCTACATTACAAAACACGTGGAATTAAAAGATTTGGAGCAGAAGCCCAGTAAATCCACGAACAGGTTCCAGGCAGAAATTAACAGATTAATTTCAGTGAGGAGGCGTGAAATAATAAAAAAAACTCTAAAACGTGGGACCAAAGTGAACGACGCTGAGCTCAGTTTGCGTTTTTGGCTGCCGCCGCCGCCGCCAGCTGCTGCAGCCTCTCAGGGAGGCTGACGGTGGCGAAGTGGACCCGGCGCTCCTTCAGTTTCTGTTTGACCGTCGACGTCAGGTCCAGCTCCATGTACTGCTGCTTCTGCCGGTCGTACTGAGGCCACGAGACCAGGCCGGGACCGTCGGGGGAGCTGGGACACGAAGAAGAGCAGCCACATGTCATCAGACTAACACTCAGTCTACACAGCTGTGGAGTTCTGTGCAAAGCAGCTGCCTCCTTGTGCACTTAAATGCAATTTTAACAGTATTTGTGTAATTTTCTAAACAATGCTGGTTCCCATTGTTTAGCAGATTTATTGATTTTTTTATGCATCCATGCGTCTGAAGCATCACATTTGCATGAGTTTTGTGTTTGACCCAACCTGCACAAACTGTGTTTACTCAGGAGCTTCATATATTTACTTCATATTGTGCTTCGGGTGCATCTTCATGGTAATACTCACATTGTTAAATAACATTTTTTTTTAGTGCAAAACCTTTACAGTGAGTGGGTTTTACTTTTACAGTAAAAAAAAAAAATTAAAAAATTAAAGCAGCTGCTAGAAATTAAACAAACTGTAAAGTTGTGGGAATTAAAGCAAAGCATGGAGCTGAACGATGCAAAAAAAGGGTCTGTCAAACAATGCTCTGTTCTCTTATTGAGCAATTTTCTGTTGATTAAATGTCTAAAAGTCGTTCAAAATTCCTTTGAAACATCAGTAAACGTTCAGATCACAGTGTTTCATTGCTATGCGATTAAATCTATTTATTACAGTGATGCTAAACATATGATTATTTAATGTACGCTAAAATGAAGTCGAATTAAAAATACTTTAAATTATAATAAAAAAAAATCTGTTAATATAAAAGAACAGTTTTTATTTTGGGTTGTGACTTACCCGTTATGAGCGAAGTTGGCCCAGTAAGACATCATGGTCCGACATAACGTTTCATCGTCTGTCGTGATGTTGCCTGAAAAAGTTTGATCACAAAGTCAAACACTGAAACACAACAACAGGACTATCATGGGCTGCATTTACATATAAACAGGCTGTGAAAATAAAAAACGTGGCTGTAAATGTGCCAGAAAAAAAATCCAATTTTACTACTGTAATATTAAAAAACTGTAAAAACGGTAAAATTACGATAATTTTAGCTGATTTAAATACAATAAAACGATTTAATTTTACATTCACAGAGTGTAAAAGAAATTATTATTGTTTGTAAAAACATAGATTTTTGCTGTTAGGTACAGTTTTTACCTGTTTTCTTACAATTAACATGTAAATTAATATTTTCTTTTTCTTCTGTGATTTTACTAGACACCTGTAATTCACCAAATGCAATGTAAATGTAAATGTAAATGTAAATGCACATCTGTTGGGTTCCTGGGGTACGTGATATCCCGGGGCCAACTGGAACCCGACCCTGCCAAGATCCAGGCTGTGACCGACTGGCCCACTCCGACGCCTCGGAAGACCTGCAGTGGTTCCTGGGGTTTGTGAACATCTACCGGAGGTTCTTCCAGAACTACAGCCGGGTGGCTGTACCCCTCACGAGTCTCACGTCTACGAAAACAGCGTTCAGGTGGAGCCTGGAGGCTGACGCTGCCTTTCGGACTCTCAAGGCGCTGTTCACGAGTGCACCCGTCCTGCAACACCCTGATCCCACCCTCCCTTTTGGGGTTGAAGTCGATGCCTCCGACACGGGAGTCGGAGCGGTCCTGTTGCAGCACGATTCCTCGTCCCAGAGGCTGCATCCCTGCACGTTCTTCTCCCAGCGGCTGTCCAGTGTGGAGAAGAACTACGACGTGGGCAACAGGGAACTGCTGGTGGTGGTCCTGGCTCTCCAAGAGTGGAGACACTGGCTGGAGGGGGCTTTCCAGTCTTTTACCATTTGGACTGACCATAAGAACCTGGCCTACCTGCAGTTGACGCGGCGCCTTAACCCCCTTCAGGCTCGATGGTCCCTGTTTTTAAGTTGTTGTGACTATTCTCTTTCTTACCGCCCAGGTTCTAGGAACGAGAAACCCAATGCCCTGTCTCGAGTCTTCGCTGCCTCCCACAAGACCCAGGACCCTGACCCATTATCCCGGAAGCCCGGATCTTGGGCGCTGGACCCCGGTGATGGCCCCCCAAATCGGCTGTTTGTTCCTGTGGCCACCTGGTCGCAGGTCCTCCAGTGGGGACACATATCCAAGATCGCGTGCCATCCGGGTTTCCGCTGGACTCTCATCCTCCTCTGTCAGTGGTTCTGGTGGCCCTGGATGGGCCGGGACACAAAGGAGGACGTGGCAGCTTGTACCATCTGTGCCAGAGGGAAGTCCTCTCATCGCCCTCCTGCGGGCTGCTCTGCCTGCTGTCAGTGCCCTGCCGTCCATGGTCCCACATCACCATGGATTTCGTCACGGGTCTGCCTCCCTCTGGAGGTAATACAGTTGTCCTCACCATTGTTGACTGCTTTTCAGAAGCTGTGCACCACATCCCTTTTCCTAAGCTGCCGTCCGCCCGTGAGACTGCTGAGCTCCTCACTGAGCATGTCTTCTGCCTCCAAGGCATCCCATCCGACATCATCTCGGATTGGTGACCGCAGTTCGCCTCACAGGTCTAGCAAGCCTTCTGTAAGGTGATGGGCGCTACGGCCAGCCTCTCCTCTGGGTATCATCCGCAGACCAACGGCCAGACGGAGAGGGCTAATCAGGACCTGGAGTCTGCCCTCCGTTGTGTCGCCGCACATCACCCTGTGTCCTGGTGCACCCATCTGCCATGTCTGGAGTATGCCCACAACACCATGACCAGCGCTGCGATGGGGATGTCCCCCTTTATGGCTTGTATAAGTTATCAAGCCCCCCTCTTCCCTGACCAGGAGCTGGACATGGTGGTCCCCTCCGTCAAGGAACATCTCCGGAGGGTCCGGAACATCTGGAGGACAGCACGGGCCACCCTCAACCGCTCCTCTGCCCACAACCTCTTGTAGTGGGAAGAGGACTCCAGCCCCGGAGTACCAAGTCGGCCAGGTCTGGCTATCCACACAAGACCTGCTGCTTCCTACGGAGTCCAGGAACCTCTCCCCCCAGTATGTTGGTCCTTTCCCAGTGGATAAAGTGATTAACCCCTCTGCAGTGCACTTAGCCCTCCTGGACTCTCTGAAGGTTCATCCCACCTTCCATGTTTCGTTGCTGAAGCCTGTGGACTCCAGTGACCTCTGTCCGTCTGCTGAACCCCTGCCACTGCCCTGGATCATAGACAACAGTCTGGCCTTCACCATCTCAGGGTTTCCTGAATGTCAGACCTTGTGGTAGGGGGTTCCAATACCTCGTGGATTGGGTGGGATATGGCCCAGAGGAGTGGTCTTTGATCTCCCAGAAGTTGACCTGGATAAGACCCTCCTCTGGGACTTTTATAGACAGAACCCTCAGAAGTCCAGGCAGACGCCAGGAGGCGTCCATTTAGGAGGGGTCATCACAATAAGAATAGAATAAATTATCATTTGTAAAAATACATTTTTTTTTTTTTTTAAGCTGGCATGATTTAGTTTTGGCCTCTCTTCTAAATTTTTTTACATTTTATTTTAAGGTTAACATGTAAGTAATACTTTATTTTACCAGCTTGTATCTGTAAATTAACAAAAAGGTGGAATTTGTGAAAATATAGTAAACTATTAATTTGTTAAAAAAACAAAAAACAAACAAAAAAACAGTTATTAACCATTTTAAAAACTTAATTTTCACAGTTTTTGCGTACCTAAGATTTTGAGCGGCCCGTTCCAGAAACACGCCCCGAACATGAAGCCCACGTCGTCAGCGTGGTCGGCCTTCACGAAGCTCGGCCGGTTGTCTCTGTGAACCTGAGCGCGATACACAAACTCGTACATGTAAACTGGAGCTCCGGCGTCTAAACAGGAGCAGAGAAAAGACAGACGTGAAGGTTTGTCGGTCGTCAGGTGAAAGCAGCAGCTGGTCGGGCTCTTGGCTGCTCTCTGACCTGCGTGGTATCCGGCCACCTTCACCACCGGCAGCGTCATCAGCAGGTCTCCGATGATTTCTGTGAATCCGTCTCTGATCTCTTCTGGAGTTTTGGCGTCCTTCAGGTACTCGTCTATGATCAGGTTGTTGGCTGACGAGGCCTGAAGCAGAGACGGAAGTGATGAGAGGTTTAAATTCTGTCTTTGTCTGTGAAACATGTTCACAGAAACACGTTTGTTTACATCCGAGTGATTCAATCACGTTGACCCAGACTTTAAAGAGATCCAGATCCTTCAAAGTGTCTATAAAATGTTTTGATCCCACCTGTAAGTTTCCCTCTTTTACTGCTTTTCCACACTGAATCATTGTCAGTATAAAGTATATAAAGTTACCCAAAAAAGAAAAAAGAAATACCTATAAAGAACTGTAAATTCATTAAAAATCTAAAAATACAAATTATGTTAAGTTTAATTTGTAAACCAAGAAAAAATAAAT